AATAACTAAAGAGTAACCACCGGTTCAGTTTGTTGTCCTTCCCTCCCCCCCCCCAGCACCTCCGATTAGCACGGTAGGATATGTACGGTGCGAAGGAAGTTCAACGTTGCATACGTACGCAACGTGAGTTCGTGAACACATTTTACTCAGCCCCGTGCGGCAACTATAAAGCCACCGTCTCATCAGCGCTAATGTGCGCGCCCTGCTGACGGCTAATGGACCGTGGCCACGCAGTTCGCTGTCACTTAAGTCAACCCACGTGCTCGCGCGATTGCCTCGTGCGATTATTGTGAAAGCGGTGGTGGTGGCGGTTGTGTTGTGTTGGGGCGAAGTTGTTAGGGCATTGCACCACCGGCGGCTTGGAGACTCGAGGTTTGATTCTCCAAATTCATATAAGTGGGTCTCTAACAGCACTTGCCCCAAAACGTCTGGTAGGGCTATAAGGGAGGGGGTAATATTTGTCTCGTCTTGTGTCGAATATTGTGAAAGGCCAGATGTTAGGCGGGGTGGCGGTTAGCGCAATTGCAACAACGGGGCCCGGCGACTTGAGGTTTGATTTCCCAACGACGGTTTTAACTTTAAACAACTATATTTTGCCACTGGTAAAGGAGATGTCTCATAGTGTAAATGCTTACCCCGAGCTCTCAATACTCTGATAGTGCGCTGTCTTTGAGTTGTACGCCTTTTGGCGTCATCTGGTCCAACACCAATGGAGACTACTAGGCTCTAAGAAAAGCTGTCTCAGGTGTGGACCAATCAACTTCAAGGACAGTGCATATCATTATCATCATCAGAGTTGTTTATTTTTTGTTTGCATTTTGACTGCTTGTGTTGTGGTTATTGCAAACATGATGCCTTGTATAAAGGTGTCAGTTTTTGTACCAGTTGAAAGGGTAAAAACCTATCACTACAACGTGGAAAAGTTGGTGATAGAAGCCTCCGACACCGCCTCCGCCTGCTCCACGGTCCGCATTGCGCAGGGAGGCCCTCATCCAGCAGTGGCTAGACCAGCGTGCTAATCAAGAGGTCATTTAGTTCTTAACCTTTGTCAACGCTGCTGCGGCAACTTGGCTTTTTAAGAAGTCCCGTGTTGAAACAATTGCGTTCACTGTTTGGTGTGTCTACCGTATTCTTCGGATTATAAGACGCACTGCCCCCTGTCCCCACCCCGACCTCACCACGATGTATTGTAAAGCAACAGTTGGGAGCGCGTCTTATAAGCTGGTAGGAGTGTGTGCGTGTCTGTATGTCCCAGACCAGATTTTTATAACTTTATTTGGTAAACCACGTGACTTCCGTGTGCCCCCCCCCCACCCACTTTGAACTCCTCCCATTTATTCCATCACCGCCCACTGTGAGAACAGACGCTGCTAATCTTCTGTGCAGCAGCGTTTAGGTCCTCCTCCTCCCTCCCTACCTCCCCCCTACCTCCTCCCTCCCTCTCTCGCTCCTCCCTCCCTCCCTCCTCCCCCCTCCCTCCTGCCCCCTCCCCCCTCCCCCTTCTCCCTCCCTCCTCCTCAAAGAAGTATAATTTTTGAAAGTAAAAACAAGTCAGGCACATATTTTGTTTACAGTGGTGGAAATTCGACGTTCGTGTGCCAGGGGATAACACAACCGATTTGCGAATGCTGCTGAATTTCTCCAGGATGAACGAACGCGCTGACTCTGAGCTCTGACTTGAGAGTCGGCGTTACGAGTCGCCACTTCACCACCAACGGAGCCCACGAGTTGAGGAGGTCGAGACGACTCGAGGCAGAAAGTCACCTCCACGAAGTCTCGCAGAGGGGACCCCTCAAACACGTGGGGGGGGGGGGGGGGGTGTGGGAGGGGCACTCACGTATTGAGGCCCATGCAGCGTTCCCACGACGCTTAGACAATAGGCCGTAGCCGTGCTTGGGCCGTTCCTAGAGGGCTCGGGGAGAATCTTTGTCCGAACGCGAGACTCCTCAGGCTCGGCGTCTTTCACCCTTCGTCCCGTTCTCCCCCCTCCACCCCGCCCCTCCACCCCGCCCCTCCACCCTTCCTCCCCTCGTCTGTGCCACGAGAGGCAGAGAGAAGCGATTGTTTTTGGTTTCGTTAACTGGCAAGTGAAGTAGTTGGGTGGACAGAGCGATGATCTCACGTACAAAGACAAAAATTCCCCGTATAGCCTTAACAGACTGTAGGTGAAAGTGCTGTTAGCGAGCACCTATAAAGGCCGGCACGGCACACGAGGGGGTGGGTGGCCAACACCACGCCCGGCCGCCTTTGTCTCCCTAGTGGCGATGTTTACACATCGCACCAGGTACTCATTTGAGGCTGAGTCGACCCGCGCACACACGCGCACGTAGACAGAACACTTGATTCCTCCTGGCCAAACTTGCCCTGCTGCGTTCGTCTGCAAGCGGCCTACGAGGTAGGAGCTCGTTGGGACGCACTCGTTCACAGCAGGGGGCTGGCCGCGGCTGTTTTGTCTTAGAGGCTGTGGAGGTGGGGAGGCAAAGGCGTGTGCGGTTTGTTACGAGACGCGAAAAGTCGGGGGTGAGGCGCGCAGCCGTGATAGCATCTCACCAGCCGTGGAGCGTCGCCCAGACTCGGACACGAGACACCTTCCAAACGAGCGTCAATTCTCCGACTTGGCGTCGTGTGGCTCGCTGGTGTCGGGGCAAAGTCAACGACTACTATTTCACATTGCAGGCGGGTTGAAGCTCAGGCAAGGCCGTAACTATAATATATCTTGGGACACACACACATCCCCCCCAATATTCAAATATGCTAAAAATATCCCCCCCAAATATATTGCTATAAAATAGATTTCTGTTTATATGATTGTGGTTTTGGTTGTACTTTATTAATCCCTAATCTCTGCGATTACATTACAATGAAACAAGAAAAGGTAAAAAAGAAAAAACAGAGCAGTCTAATACAATACACTATTAGACATTAATGTCATAAATTAAAAGTCAATCCTATGTGTTATTGCATTTTTTATATTTTAGGCAGGAAATGGAAGTAAATTTGTTTTCAAATTTAGATTTTTTTTCTGGGGGGGGGGGGGGGGGAGACCCCCAGACCCCCAGACCCCCGTGGAAGATTTGGTCCCCCCCAATGTTGACTCCATTGTTAGGGCCTTGAGTCGAGGTAACCACGTCAGGGCTACGCGGAGTAGTGCCATCGCTGTGATGCCTCCTGCTTCGTGCATCTGTGGATCGGGGCATTGCGTCGCTTCAACGTGGTCCGGCCTCTGTTCTGGATGACCACAGTCGCACCGACACTGCGGGATAGTTTTCTATTTTCCATTTGTGCATCATCATCATTATCATCATCAGTTATCCGCGTCTGCTGCTGCGATGGTTTGTGTGGTGGATGTGATGTAGAGGTGAGGGACCACGAGCAGCTGCGTGTAAGATCAATCCCAGGGGGTCTTCTGCGTTGGGTCGTTCACAGCGTCAATTACCCGGGCGCGATGCTCACGAGATGATGATGATGAGCGCTGCGTGGTGGTGGTGGCACGGATGCGCGCGCCGATAAAACCGCGTAATTGCGGATGATCTCGACGTAAGTGATTAGCGGTGCCGAATGATCAATATCAGAATATTTATTTAAACTGGAGGAATCCGATGAGATGTGAAGCTCTCTTTCACACTTGTCCAATTACGAAGTTAATATAAGCAGACAACATCGTATCGGTCTCTGCACGTGATAAATACCGTATTTCTTAAACACAGACTAATACATATTCATACTGGAGGAATCCGATGAGCTATGAAGTCATTTTTCACAGATGTATGGGGTTCAGTAGTTCCACTGCTGGATATTTTTTTCCGCCTGAGGACGACCGCTTGTGTTGCGATCGAAACGTCGTGATAGATTATTTATTTTTTATTTTTGTACCCACGTGGACTTTACCGAAATAACCAAAGAGTATGGATTCGTGCAGTCACGAAAGCTTCCAATCAAGAGCGAGTCAGAAAGTGACACCCATCCCCTACACCAGCCGCGCGGCCTTCTGGGAGTGCGTAATTTCGGCAGCATTGGTTCAAGACATCATCATCAGCAGCAGGAGCAGCAGTCAGGCTCGCTTAAACCAATGCTGGTTACGTGCAAAGAGCCCTCTCTCTCTCTCTAAGCGACGGTTTCAACAGATTTGCTGGGACGCGACGGTGGTTAGGAGATGTTAACTACCTCGCCTGGTGTACGGGAGGTCGTGGGTTTGATCCCAACCCTGACGCCTGCTGCTGTATATTTGGAGTTTGCTCTCTCTCTCGCCTGGTGGTCACGTGGGTTTTTTCATTCCGGGTTTTCCCCCTCCACATTTTAGAATCAACATCACGCGTTTAGAGTTATTTGGCTGCTATACATTTCCACGTGAACATCGGCCATTGCGTCGAGCTATAATTTATCTTTACCAGGTCGCTTCTGAAGAAGTGCTTCATTGCAGCTCAGCGAGCTTTACACCTGGTAAAAAAATAAATAAAACCGATTTAAATATTTTTAAAAAGGAGTTCACGTGCTGTGCCCTGCCGGGTGCCGATGTCGTGGCACGGGCCTGGAAGGCGGAGCATGCCGAGCGAGACACGCAGAGAGTGCGCGCTCGCCAATGTTGGATGCGGCGAGTGGCCGGTGCCCACGTGCCAACTTTGACGCGTGACTGCCACCAACAGCCCCTCCCCTCCCCCCCTCCCCCCGCCCCCCGCCCCCCCGCCCCTCCCCCCTCCCCGCCCCCACTCCCGACCCCGACCCCAGCGCGTGAATGCGCGACACTGCGCTATGGACATGGCCGCCCGGGTTCGATTTCCACTCACGGCCAACACCGGTGACGATTATCTGAACCGGTCCCGGGTCTCCCCCTAGGTCGACTCGGCCTCAAATGAGTGTGTGAACATCGCCAAGGCGGTCGGGCGTGGTGCTGGCCACCCACATCCTCGTGTTCCGTTCTGGCCTTCATAGGCGCTCGCTAACAGCACTCGCCCATACAGTCTGTTAAGGCTATACGGAGGATCTTTGTCTTTGTACAACTGGGAGCGGTGGCGCAACGGTTAGCGCGCTACGCTGCGAACCCCCGGGCAAGCCGAGTTCAATTCACGCTCGTGGGCCCAGCGACATTTGGCGAAAAGTTCAACCGGTCCTGGGCCTCCCCTAGGTCGACTCAGCCTCAAAGGAGAATCCTGGAGGAATCCGATGAGCTATAAAGCTCTTTTTCACCGACGTTCACTAGGGGCGGGTCACAAAGTTACATACATACGTGCGTAAGCCGGGCACTTTAACATTTCCGCTGCTGAACATACATGAATGTGCTTTGTTATCGCGAGAACACCAATAACAATTGCCATCATCATCGTCGTCGTCGTTATGGCTGTCGCTAATCGAGAACGTTGCGCGCGTGCTCGTGTGCTCCGCCAGTTCTTCCTGTGCTCCGTCTACGTGCCCATGTGCACCGAGAAGGTGGACATCCCCATCGGACCGTGCGGCAGCATGTGCCTGGGCGTGAAGACGCGCTGCGAGCCCGTGCTCAACGAGTTCGGCTTCTCGTGGCCCGACAGCCTCAACTGCAGCCGCTTCCCGCCGCAGAACGACCACAACCACATGTGCATGGAGGGCCCCGGCGAGCAGGAGGACGGTGGCGGCGACGGCGTCGGCAAAGCGGACGACGGGCGGAAGAAGTTGACGTCGCTCGTCGGCGTCGGCGGCGGCGCCGGCGGAGACGAGCCGGATGCTCGGCACGACGACGCCGACGGCGGCGGCGCCGTCGTAGTGGCGCCGAGTCCCGAGTGCCGGGACATGGGCCCCAACTGGGAGCAGTACGTGTGGGTTCGTCGCGCCGGGCGCTGCGCCCTGCGCTGCGGCTACGACAAGGGCCTCTACGGCCGCCCAACCAAGGAGTTCACTGACCGCTGGATGGCCGTGTGGGCCGGCCTCTGCTTCGTGTCGACCGCCTTTACCGTGCTCACGTTCATGATCGACTCGTCGCGCTTCTCGTACCCGGAGCGGCCCATCATCTTCCTCAGCTGGTGCTACAACGTCTACAGCGTGGCCTACGTGGTGCGCCTGGCCGTCGGCCGCGAGCAGCTCGCCTGCGACCTGGAGGACGCGGCGCCGGAGCCGTTCCTCATCCAGGAGGGCCTCAAGAACACGGGCTGCGCCATCGTCTTCCTCTTCCTCTACTTCTTCGGCATGGCGAGCTCCATCTGGTGGGTGGTGCTCACGCTCACGTGGTTCCTGTCGGCGGGCCTCAAGTGGGGCCACGAGGCCATCGAGCGGCACAGCTCGTACTTCCACATCGCCGCGTGGGCCGTGCCGGCGCTCAAGACCATCGTCATCCTCATCATGCGCCAGGTGGACGCCGACGAGCTCACGGGCCTCTGCTACGTGGGCAACCAGAGCCTGGATGCGCTCACGGGCTTCGTGGTGGCGCCCCTCTTCACCTACCTCGTCGTGGGCACGCTCTTCATCGCCGCGGGCCTCGTGGCGCTCTTCCGCATCCGCTCGAACCTGCAGAAGGGCGGCGCCAAGACGGACAAGCTGGAGAGGCTCATGGTGAAGATCGGCGTCTTCTCGGTGCTCTACACCGTGCCGGCGACGTGCGTCATCGCCTGCTACTTCTACCAGATCTCCAACTGGGACCCGGCGAGGCGGGGCGCGCCCGGGGAGCCGAGCGCCGTCGCCGTCGAGATGGTGCGCATCTTCATGTCGCTGCTCGTGGGCATCACCTCGGGCATGTGGATCTGGTCGGCCAAGACGCTCGGCTCGTGGAGGAGGTGCTCCGGCAGGCTGGTGGGGGGCGCCCGCACCAAGAAGGACGCCAGGGGCTGCGTCGTCGTGGCGGCCGCGGCCGCGGCGTCCGGCGCCGTCGGGTGGCTCAAGCCGGGACAGGGGAACGAGACCGCCGTGTGACGTCGGGGGGACCGCTAGCGCCGCCGCCCCTGCTCTGCACCGTTAGCGCCGGAGGTTTGAAGAGTGCCGAGGGTGGCCGGCGTGGCTCTCGGCGTGTTTGCCGCGGCTGCCGGGAGCCTATCAAATGAAACTTTTAAACTGTTTTTTTATTTTACCACTGAGTGATGTAGCTCTTTTTCAGAAGCGACTTTGCCAAAAATGAAGTGACTTGTCGCGGCCGAATACTCTCAACGTGTGACGCTGGTTCTAAATGTGGAGGGAAAAACTGGAAGACCCGTGGAAAAATCCACGCGACCACGGGGAGAGAGAGACACGCAACCTCCAGATACACAACAGCAGGCGTCGGAGTCGTGATCGATCCCACGACCTCCTGCATAGCAGGCGAAGTAGTTAACATCTCAGATCCACTGTGGCGGCGTTTTGCTTCGTTGCAGTCGAGGGGAACAACGTTTCACGTTGGTGCGTCGCATCAACAACAACAATCAACAACAAAGCAACATCTTCCCAGGACGTGCGTGCGTTTTTTTTTTACTTTACTCCTACAGATAAAGTTTGACGTGATGAAGAGCGAGCGTGCCGTGCTCGTGCTGGCCCGCCGGAGCCGGCGCCACGGCCGTCGTCGTCGTCGTTGGGACGTTAACGGGGGGGGGGGGGGGGAGGCCTCGCTGAAACAAACGGAACCCGACCGAGTATTCCGCCACGGTGGCGTTCTTCGTTGCAAGGCCCGTGGGCCACCGGCGACGTGTGCGCCCCACCCCCCCACCCTCGAACACACCATCACCATCATCATCACCGTGCTGCTGTCAACCCCCCCCCCCCCCTGCTGCCCCGCAATGGGTTAAATCTGAGGCGATCCTCTTCACCCTGATGACGTCTTATCAGCCAAAGTGCCAAACCCCCCCAAACTGCGCGACCCTCTCTCCCGTAGAGGAGTCGTCCAACGAACTTTCTCCCGCAGGAATGAACTCGGTTTTGACGCGTTGTTCTTTATTCTATGACGAATACGGAGCAGCCTGGCCGACGTGGCTGGCGCAGCGTGCGTTTCGTGATTTTAGTTTTTTTACGTCGCTGGACAAAAAAAGATTATATGTGAAAAAAATAAAAAATTGACAAAAGATCGAAAGTGATCGAAAGTGACCACGAGGATCGAACCCCCGGGGGCCGCGGATCGCCGCCGCCGCCGCGGTGTTGTGGAGATCACCTCCCCGTGAGGACGTTGGAACAAAAATCACGCGAGCCCCCTCCCGCCCGGTTATCGACGGCAGTGGCGGCAAATCCCTTCGCGTGGCTGCGACGCCCACCGCCCGCAGCACCAGCGAGCGCCTTCGCGTCAACACCGCGGCACTTCCCTGCGGGCCGAGACTCTGCAGGGCCGTAGTATCAAGAGCGTCGGCTTTGGGATTGACCATGGTTGCTGATGATGGTGATGGTCATGATGATGATGATGGTGGTGGTGAGATTTTTTGCGTGTGTTTAGTTTGTTGTCCTTGACAGCGCTCCCCCACCCACGCACCTCCGATTAGCACGGTTGGCTATGTACGGCGCGAAAGAAATTCCAACACACTTACATAACGTTACACAAAAACACACAACAGTGCCTTAGCCTGAGTCTTCCCATTTGTCTCTGTGCCTTATCGGAAGTTCCTTGACCGCCACCATCCCCACCCTTCTCTGCCCTCCTTTGCCCTTCATCTCGAATTCAATCGGCTCAAGCCTCCCCTGAACCACGTGACTCCTGCTTGGCCACCCCCACTCTGAATCCCTCCCCTCTCCACGGCTAGCGACGCCCACTATGAAAACAGACGCCGCTCCTCCGTGCAGCTCACTCCCAGCCTTGCTCCCTTCCTTCTCTCTTCCCCCCCACCTCCCTCTATTCCCTCCCTTCTCATCATCATCATCCCTGACATCTACATTACATCCGCGACTCTATTCTCCTTCCCGCGGTGTGCCACAGGTACACAGTTTCACTTTCACAAGTGACCCCTCACTTCATGCTCCTTCAACAACCCCCAATCCTCATTCCTTTCCTCCCATTACCTTGCCTTGCGTCCTCCCTTTCTTTCTGTTCTCATTCATCGACCCGGACGCTCATAAGATGTCTTCAATCCACCCCTTTTCTTTCGTTCACTAGCGTTCCTCCGCCGTCGATGCCATTAGACATTTTTTTTCTCTCCATTAGTCCTCTCCTCTGGGGCTATTGCTCTCTGATTCTTCCTCCTGGTCCACATCTCAAATGATATTGGTCGCGATACATAGAGAGCTTCAAAACTAAAAGTGCCTTACCCAGAATACACCCACCGACCGACCGACCGACGTGCCTAAAGCCAGCGTAGTGCCTATATAAGGTGACATTATATACACCTATGTATGTGGAACTTGTTTCCGCACGCTACCTAGCAAACCGTGCTCATTGGAGGTGCGGCCGAAGGACAACAGACGAAACATGAAAAGCAGTTTTGAAGAAATGTGTTTTCAATCGGGATTTAAACGTGCCATAGCTCCCAGCGAGTTCCTAATAGCGGAAGGGAAGAGCGGTCCAGACGGCCGCAGAAGCGCATCTGGTAAAGCGCTGCGATGGTGACGATGATGCGGTGACCACCGCCTTTGTTTGACGGCCACCCAAAAGCCACCACCGCTCCTGCTGCTGCTGCTGCGAGGATGGCCGGAGTTCACGCGATGATGGTTTATACCTCCTGTGGTTTGAACCCGATGGTTTTCATCTTTGTGCGATTTTTTTTCACGTTGGCTTTAGACACAAGGAGACCGTGTGTTTCGTAATCAAAGAACAGATGTGATGACAATGTTTTGTTGCCATCGTTGTCAATGACAGACGATGTTGTTTTTGTTGGATTAGATCGCGTAAATATAAATGTGTCGTCGTTAAACCCACCACCACCCGACGCAGCCAATCAGCGAGGTCTGTCACTTTGATAAAACGTGTCAATTCGTTACTAGTTCAGCACACACCGGTTGCGTTGTGGAGAGTAAACCCGCAACAACATTTAAAAGCCGAGTACTGTGACGTTTCACCGGTAATTACACCTCATCAAGAGGCTGGATGTAATTTCCAGCGAAACGTTGTATTAAAAAATTCATCTTCTTGGTTATTTTGGTAAAGTCACGTAGAAGGGAAATGATAAAATAATAAAAATAAAACATAATAAAATACAATTCTCACGACGTTTCGGCCACAACGCAAGCAGCCGTCCTCAGGTGAAGAACAGGTCTGTCGGAAAGACAGCGTCTGAATGAACACCACCAAGCTTGGCAGCGTATATTTAAGCTGCTGGGTTGGAGGAGGAAGGGCGCCTTGACAAATTGCATTTTATGATGTTTTATTTGTATTATTTCCCTTCTACGTGACTTTACCGAAAGAACCAAGAATATGAATCCCCGCAGTCACAAAAGCTTTAAATCGAAATCTATTATCGGTGTGGGTTATTCACAGTTAATCAACACACAATAATGCGCCACTGATTAACTTCCATCGTCGAAATCGGTAAAATGAACCACCGGCCGTCACGTGTGCACTACTTCGCGATCCAAGCATGCGTCCCAACGTCTTTCGTCTCAAGCCAGAGCGAGGGAGTCCCTGTTTGCGAAGAGTGACCTGGGTCAAATAACAAAGTGGTAAAAAAAGCCCAACAACCAAAGTGAAGTTCGCCATCGAAGCAGATCGCAATCGGCGCCGCAGAACGGCAGAGCCACGCGAGACTTTGAAAGCGAATCAACGCCGCGTAGTAAACTGATCACGGGACGATTACACGAATAAAGGAACTTGACCTATATATTTTTATTTTGCAAAGTAAGATCCCACTGAGCTGTTCAGCTCTTTTTTCAGAAGCGCCCTGGCGGTCACAAATGATGGCAGAACTCACTGGCTTATCATCACGTGGACATTGATAGCAGCCAAACGCTCTAAAACGCGTGACGTTGATGCTAAAATGCGGAGGGAAAAACCAGAGGACCAGGAGAAAAAATCCACGCGAGCGCGGTGAGAGAAAGAGAGAGAGAGAGAGGCACGCAAACTCCCAAGTACACAGCAGGCGTCAGGGCCGGGATCGAACCCACGACATCCTGCACACTAGACGAGGTGGTTAACATCTCCCAGCCACCGTGATGCAATGTTCACCTTAGACACGTGTTAGGTGGTGACCGCTGTTCTCGCGGATGGCGGTAGCAGCGTGGTTCAGGAGTTCGATGCTCATGTCGACGACTGCTGCTGGCCACGAGGGAAGGGGCTTCAGGATAGAGAGATCGAGAGAGTTTGTGCCATGTAGGTGTTCCTACACGGTGTTTGGAGCGTAGACCACGGTGTGTTTAACCGTCGCGCCGATCGTCCAAAGCGATGGTGGGCGACGCCACGGCAGACAGCCACGCGCAGGAGGCCACTGGGCGCGCAATCGATCGCGTTTGGAACGCTAAGGGGACGAAAACAACAATAACAACAACAACGCGTTTTGTGAATAGTCGGCTGGCTGTCTCCCGGCTTCATGGAAATCATGAAATATATATTAATTTATCTGAATGTTTATTGTGTAAAAGAAAAGAGAAACAAACGAACCCCGAAACAAACGTACGAGCAGGCAAACGAGCGTCACACATTGTTCATATTGTACAGATTAAGTTGTTGTTGTTGTCATTTGCTGTTGTTGTTGTTGTTGTTGTGACTGTTGCCACTCATCGTGCGTCGAGGTTTCTGCGGCCGTGCGCGCGCCGTGTTGCTGTGAGGTCCGACGTTTCGCCCACCCCCCCTTCCCCCCACGTAGCTGGGAGCTGCTTTTGTTGTCGTTGTTTTGGGTTTTTAAGGAACTGCTGCAGACGACGTGCGACGCGAAACGTCGGGCAATGTTGCAATGTTGTCCGACGACGACGACAACAAAAATAAAGGGACTCCCTCACTGTCCCGAACGCACGTCGGAGAAGGCGAACTCCCTCGGTCATCATTTTATTTTTATTTTGTGTCATCGTCGGAGCGATGAGAATCTTTGCCCGACCATCTATGCTCGTCCGCTTCGTAACTTTGTGGGAGGGGGGGAGGGTTGGAGGGGGGTAACCGGGGGAGGAGGTGGGGAGGGTCACTGGGGTGGGTGGGGGGAGGGTCACCGGGGGGGTGGAGGGGGTCACCGTGGGGGGGGGGGGTGGGGAGGGTCACTGGGGGGGGGGTGGTGGGAGGGTCACTGGGGGGGGGTGGGGGGGGGGGTCACCGTGGGGGGGGGGTGGGGGGTCACCGTGATGGGGTGGGGGGAGGATCACTGGAGGGGGGGAGGGGAGGCTCACCGTGGGGGGGGGGGGTGGGGGGTCACCGTGGGGGGGTGGGGGGAGGATCACTGGAGGGGGGGAGGGGAGGCTCACCGTGGGGGGGGGGGGGGGGTGGAGGGTCACCGGGGGACACGCGCGTGCTGCTGATTCCGCCTCCTTGTCGCCCGCGTCGCCCCATCGACTGATTCAGTGCCGAGCGAGCGGCGTTGCCCCAGCCCCGGCTCTTCTCTTCGATGTCGGAGGCGTGGCGCGGTTCGGCACCTGGCCCTGGAGTCAAGAGCCAAACACGGCCGCCCCTTGTCCCCCTTCTCCCGCCTACCCCCCCCCCCCCACTGCTTCTTCTTCCCGCCCACCAAGTCCTTTTTACTCCCCTCTTCGTAGAGGCCCCGCGCGCGGGCAGCTTCGGTGCAGTTGCACCGCCTGCGCGCTCGACACGCGGACGTCCCCCACCGCTGTAGAATCGCGCGAGCCGGGCGCCGACTTCCATCAGTTCCTCCACCCCCCCCACCTCTGCACCCTCCGAGGTGGCCATCGGGAACGGATCCGGTGTTGCGCACCCAGCGGTTTGCTCCGTTAGTCGCGTGCGCCTCCTCCTCCTCCCTCCTCCTCCTCCTCCCCCGTCGGCCGCCACGCTGAGAATCCGCGGTGTTTTCCTCATCACCACCCCCCCCTCCACGTGCCGCCCCTAGTTCAGAACGGACGCGGCGGCGTCGCCCAAAAGGGTCACCGCGTGGGTCGTTGCGGAGGGGAGCGCGAACGCCGCACGCGGAAGGCGCCATTGTGGCACGCACGCGGTGGTCGGAGGCGCGTTTTGTTGTTGTCGTTGTCGTTGTTGTTCAGAACTAAACAAAAAAACGTCAACAAAGGTAACAACGCGGACGCTAAAATCGCCGCACTCGATTTGGGCAATCTCGAAAGCGGTGTTCTGGGCGTCCCCATCGCGAGGCCGGCTGAGAGAAGAGCTTAACGGCTCGGGAGCTCGAGGGCTCGCGTCTTCACCAGCGGACACCCGCGGCTGACGACGGACGAGAGAGTTCGGTGGTCACCCGTGCCCAGCCCCACCTTGACGCAGAAGTTGACTCGCGCACCGAGATCCGGCGCCGGTATTTTTGTGGTGTCGAACTCGCCACGTGGCAGGTTGCGGCGTATCGATGGGAGACCCCCTGACGCTGTCGAGTGAGAGGTGGTGACTTTTTCTTCGTCGATGTAGATTTATTGTGCCCCCACCCCCCCCCCCCCGACTTTAATTCACTCGAACTAGAATAAAACACAATGGCATTGTTGTTGGTCTAAAATCCCAATGGTGGGTCCTTCGGTGGGTCCTTCGATGGGTCCTGTGGTTGGTCAGTGGGGCCACGATGCCCCTGGGGAGGTGGTCTGCGCAGAGCTATTTGCAGATACCGCGATTATTTTCACCAAACGGTATATTTTCTACTGCCCAATGATGCGAACATATTTATATATCATTTGCGTGATTCAATAAAAAAAAATTCGAATTCAGTCGTTTTCATGACTAGTTTTTTCCTTCAATAATTTTCTTCAATCACTTTTTTTTCCTTCAATCATTTCTTCACTCACCTTTTTTCCCTTCAATAATTTCTTCACTCACCTTTTTTCCTTCAAGAATTTTCTTCACTCACTTTTTTCCCCTTCAATAATTTCTTCACTCACTTTTTTCCCCTTCAATAATTTCTTCACTCACTTTTTTCCCCTTCAATAATTTTTTCACTTACTTTTTTTCCCTTCAATAATTTTCTTCACTCACTTTTTTTCCCTTCAATAATTTTCTTCACTCACTTTTTTCCCCTTCAATAATTTCTTCACTCACTTTTTTCCCCTTCAATAATTTCTTCACTCACTTTTTTCCCCTTCAATAATTTCTTCACTCACTTTTTTCCCTTTCAATTATTTCTTCACTCACTTTTTTCCCTTCAATAATTTTTTCACTCACTTTTTTCCCTTCAATAATTTTCTTCAATCACTTTTGTCCCCTTCAAAAATTTTTTTCACTCACTTTTTTCCCCTTCAATAATTTCTTCACTCACTTTTCTCCCTTCAATAATTTTCTTCACTCACTTTTTTCCCTTCAATAATTTCTTCACTCACTTTTTCCCCTTCAATAATTTCTTCACTCACTTTTTTCGCCTTCAATAATTTCTTCACTCACTTTTTTTCCCTTCAATAATTTTTTCACTCACTTTTTTCCCTTCAATAATTTTCTTCAATCACTTTTGTCCCCTTCAATAATTTTCTTCACTCACTTTTTTCCCCTTCAATAATTTCTTCACTCACTTTTTTTCCCCTTCAATAATTTCTTCACTCACTTTTTTCCCGTTCAATAATTTCTTCACTCACTTTTTTCCCTTCAATAATTTCTTCACTCACCTTTTTTCCCTTCAATAATTTTCTTCACTCACTTTTTTCCCCTTCATAATTTTCTTCACTCACTTTTTTCCCCTTCAATAATTTCTTCACTCACTTTTTTCCACTTCAATAATTTTCTTCACTCACTTTTTTTCCCCTTCAATAATTTCTTCACTCACTTTTTTCCCTTCAATAATTTCTTCACTCACTTTTTTTCCCTTCAATAATTTTCTTCACTCACTTTTTTCCCCTTCAATAATTTCTTCACTCACTTTTTTCCCCTTAAATAATTTCTTCACTCACTTTTTTCCCCTTCAATAATTTCTTAACTCACTTTTCCCCTCAATAATTTCTTCACTCAGTTTTTTTCCCTTCAATAATTTTTTCACTCACTTTATTCCCTTCAATAATTTTCTTCACTCACTTTTTCCCCTTAAATAATTTCTTAACTCACTTTTTTCCCCTTCAATAATTTCTTAACTCACTTTTTTCCCCTTCAATAATTTCTTCACTCACTTTTTTTCCCTTCAATAATTTTTTCACTCACTTTTTTCCCTTCAATAATTTTCTTCAATCACTTTTGTCCCTTCAATAATTTTCTTCACTCACTTTTTTTCCCCTTCAATAATTTCTTCACTCACTTTTTTCCCCTTCAATAATTTCTTCACTCACTTTTTTCCCGTTCAATAATTTCTTCACTCACTTTTTTCCCTTCAATAATTTCTTCACTCACCTTTTTCCCTTCAATAATTTTCTTCACTCACTTTTTTCCCCTTCATAATTTTCTTCACTCACTTTTTTCCCCTTCAATAATTTCTTCACTCACTTTTTCCCCTTCAATAATTTTCTTCACTCACTTTTTTCCCCTTCAATAATTTCTTCACTCACTTTTTTTCCCTTCAATAATTTCTTCACTCACTTTTTTTCCCTTCAATAATTTTCTTCACTCACTTTTTTCCCCTTCAATAATTTCTTCACTCACTTTTTCCCCTTCAATAATTTCTTCACTCACTTTTTTCCCCTTCAATAATTTCTTCACTCACTTTTTTCCCTTTCAATTATTTCTTCACTCACTTTTTTCCCTTCAATAATTTTTTCACTCACTTTTTTCCCTTCAATAATTTTCTTCAATCACTTTTGTCCCCTTCAAAAATTTTTTTCACTCACTTTTTCCCCTTCAATAATTTCTTCACTCACTTTCTCCCCTTCAATAATTTTCTTCAACTCACTTTTTTTCCCCTTCAATAATTTTCTTCACTCACTTTTTTCCCCTTCAATAATTTCTTCACTCACTTTTTTCCCCCTTCAATAATTTCTTCACTCACTTTTTTTCCCTTCAATAATTTTTTCACTCACTTTTTTCCCTTCAATAATTTTCTTCAATCACTTTTGTCCCCTTCAATAATTTTCTTCACTCACTTTTTTCCCCTTCAATAATTTCTTCACTCACTTTTTTCCCCTTCAATAATTTCTTCACTCACTTTTTCCCGTTCAATAATTTCTTCACTCACTTTTTTCCCTTCAATAATTTCTTCACTCACCTTTTTTCCCTTCAATAATTTTCTTCACTCACTGTTTTCCCCTTCATAATTTTCTTCACTCACTTTTTTCCCTTCAATAATTTCTTCACTCACTTTTTTCCACTTCAATAATTTTCTTCACTCACTTTTTTCCCCTTCAATAATTTCTTCACTCACTTTTTTCCCTTCAATAATTTCTTCACTCACTTTTTTTCCCTTCAATAATTTTCTTCACTCACTTTTTTCCCCTTCAATAATTTCTTCACTCACTTTTTTCCCCTTAAATAATTTCTTCACTCACTTTTTTCCCCTTCAATAATTTCTTAACTCACTTTTTCCCCTTCAATAATTTCTTCACTCAGTTTTTTTCCCTTCAATAATTTTTTCACTCACTTTATTCCCTTCAATAATTTTCTTCACTCACTTTTTTCCCCTTAAATAATTTCTTAACTCACTTTTTTCCCCTTCAATAATTTCTTAACTCACTTTTTTCCCCTTCAATAATTTCTTCACTCACTTTTTTTCCCTTCAATAATTTTTTCACTCACTTTTTTCCCTTCAATAATTTTCTTTAATCACTTTTGTCCCCTTCAATAATTTTCTTCACTCACTTTTTTCCCTTCAATAATTTCTTCACTCACTTTTTTCCCCTTCAATAATTTCTTCACTCACTTTTTTCCCGTTCAATAATTTCTTCACTCACTTTTTTCCCTTCAATAATTTCTTCACTCACCTTTTTTCCCTTCAATAATTTTCTTCACTCACTGTTTTCCCCTTCATAATTTTCTTCACTCACTTTTTTCCCCTTCAATAATTTCTTCACTCACTTTTTCCCCTTCAATAATTTTCTTCACTCACTTTTTTCCCCTTCAATAATTTCTTCACTCACTTTTTTTCCCT